CACTCAAGTTTTTTCAACTTATTTATTATGCCGCCACCAATGCAGACAAACACATGAACAGACAACAGACATACTCATTTTCACCTGAGCAAAGTGAGGAATCGTGTGGAGTGCTTTTTCCAAGTGCACAAGATCGGTGGAATGGCAGGATTCAAGCTCGGGACCTCTTGGTTCCGAAATGAATGCTCTGTCGTTACGCCACACGATCCCACTGTCCTTTTAAAGTTTAAAGGTACAGGTAATGAATCACAATACATCTGCCTTTCCTACAGGTATCTGACAGGTGTGAATACTTGTCTCACCTGTGCGGAGGCATTGAGAAGCCCGGAGGATGTCCCCTCTGGTTCTGGGTAGGTGATTTCTGCTGCAAACTCAAATCCCAGAGGCAAGTATCCGGTCATAAAGAACCTGTAAGTACAGAAACAGCCCAGGAAAATAATTTATATGACATCAAATATAAAATGACTATTCTACAATAACTAATAGAAGTAAGTCCGGCCAGTACTATCCATTCTTTGCAAAATGCAAATTCAAAACTTCCTGATCAATTTTAAAAATATCTACCAATAAGCAATATTTACAGAAACAAGACCTCCATAATGTGTATTGATGGTATTTCAGCACTAAGGACAGATGCCCTCAGTTAGTGTGAAAATTGCACCATTTTCAGTCAAAACTCCCAGGCTGTGACATGGCCTGACATTCGTTCGTGAGATACAAAATGCATATGACGACAGAAGGAAGAAGATACCCCGGTATTACAAGTGATTTTGACTTCAACCTCCTTGTTGTTATGATTGAAGACAGTATATGTACATGTATTGCCAATGGGGTTGGGCACCAGAATATGGTCACCCGATCATCGCCAAGCTCAACATATAGTCTCTGTCATCATGTTCACTTCTGCCTACCTTTCTGGTGCATACAGGTAAGGTGTTTACTTGCATACTTGAATTCTGCTTAAAACATGCCCAAAGTGAACCTCCCATTTTGGCAACACCTCAGGGTCGGAGCCAATATTAAATAGGAGTCTGACTGGACAGCAAGAACACAGACTGCATTCAGGAGGCGATACACGAAAAAATCTGTGTACAGACATGGAAATATGGTTACCCAAGGATGCCAGCAACCACAAAGACCACCCACATCCTGTCAAGGTCAAGTGTGAAGGTGAAGGTCATCATTCCTGCAAAGGTCAGGAGGTACACGACCAAGGTGGTGATCCTGAGGTCAACATGGAACAATGGGGATAGGGCATTAAATACGGCATTTAGATGATATAAATATGGTAAATAAAAGACATGATTTTTGAAAGAAAGCAAAGTTTCGTAAAGTCAGTGTCTGTGTTTTAGAGAATGTCTAAAAAGAAAGGTGTTTGCTTGCATACTTGAATGTCTTGGTACGGTCCAGCCACAGTCCACATAAGACAGATCCTACCATCCCTGCAAACACAATGGTTAAGCCCACCCAACCAGTGGCCACTTCTGCATCCTGTGAAGAATGAAAACATAAAAATTACAGTTAGCATTTTTCAACATTTTCCGTATGAATAATTATTCAACCAGAAATACTCTCTGTTTATCTTTGATTCTAACAATACTATAGCCTAGATCATGTGTTACTGCTATACATGAAGAAAATGAAATAAAATTACTTTAAGATGGTATTGAAATTTCAGATATGGTACTATATACTACTAATATTACTCACTGGGAAGTAGTGCAGGATGATCTGATTCAGTAATGTTGACAGGCTATAAAAACATCCAGCATTGATTCCTGTTAACAAACATATGAAAGATGAAGGTACGTTACAAAAATGTAAATGACTCATCCGAAATGCTGACATCAATCACAACTTTTTAAGGTGTTTATTTATGTCAGAGATATACCTATGTCTTACCATATGAAATTCAGCCTTACCGTAGGTGATCACCAGCAGTAGAAAGGACTCATTGGACAACAGTGTACGGATAGAGCGGAGGTACGACCTCTCGTCTGACTGGGACAACTTGAGAGCAGCCTGGGCGGGGCTTGGCGGGATGGGGGGCGCATTCTGGAAAACTACATCAGGTTTAAGACACGTTAATATTAAACTTCAAGTCATGACAAATTGGATCACATCCATAATTAGAGGCAAGTATCCTGTCATAAAGAACCTGCAAATACAGAAACAGGTCATGAAAATAACTCATTATGAAATGACATTTCTAACTGTAACAATGATCA